GGCGCGGGCGGCACGTGGTGGCGCCGCTGGCAGCCCCGCGTGTGGGCGCTCTTCGAGGACCCCTACTCGTCGCGGGCCGCCAGGGTGAGCCGCTCTCGGGGCCCCTAGCACCCCTCTTCAGGCACCCCCAGACCCTCGGGAGCGCCCCTCCTGGATGCTGTGGGTCCCCAAACTGTACCCTCCTGTCCTTCCAACACATCCTCCTCCCGCCTCAGGTCCCCAAAAGACGTCTCTCCAACCTGCAGCATCTCTGGGGTCTGTCTCAGGCCATCCTAGACCCTTAGAAAGTCCCTCCAGAACATGAACCTCAGGGGCCTTCTCTAAGCAAACCCATCCCCTCCTTTCCTAACCCCCAGAGTTTCCCAGCCCCTCCAAAGGTCTTGTCACCACCCTTGGCTACCTCCACACCGCACAGACCTCTCCCTGGCCGGTTTTTTGGAGCACTCCATCCCCACCAGTATCTCCCTTCGCAGCCTTCCTGCTGCGCCAGGTCCTGTGAGCCTGCCTCCTGCCCTGTCCTCTCCACCTCCTCTATTTTCCCTGGGCCCGGCTCCCAGGAGGCCTCTCCTCTCTCCAGATTCGGGTCTTTTGGTTATTTCCAGCCTCCACCCCCGTCAAAGTCTCCAGAAAGCCCCTGCCCTGGCCGCAGGGCCTCCTGGACCCCTCAGGTCCTCCTGACCCCTTGCTCCTCCACGGTACCAGTCTGAGTCTTGGGGTACCTTCCCTGCCACCCCCTCTGTTCCTGTTCCTTCTTTCTTACCCTATCCACTGTCGTCCCAAGGACTTTCCCCAGAAAGCTGTGTGCTTCCCCCAGCCTTTCACACCCTCCTCCAGTCCCCAGAACACTCTGGAGCTCCATGCGCTCCAGTTTCCTCCAGCATTGCTCTTCCTCGCCCCAGCTTCCCCCTTCCCTCCTTTCAACTGCACACCAACACTCAGTCCCTGGGACTCCCCCTTCCCGAAGTCCCCTTCTCCCTTTCTGGTCTGTGAAGTGACTTTGCCTCCTGCTCCAGAACTCTATCTCTCACCTCCAACATTGGGAACCTCGCTGTGGTCAACAGCCCAGAAACTCAAAATAGCTCCCTTTCTTTCTGCCCTGCCTCAGGACCTTTCCACCTCCCCGTTTTCCTTCGTCCAGCCCCACTCTCTCTTTCTCATGCTCCCCTTCCCAAAACCACAGGACTGGGCCCCGCAGCCGCTTTCCCTCTGCCACAATGATCCAAAACCCGTATTCTAGCCTTCTTTCCTGCAGCCATATCTGCCTGAAAGTCTAGGGTTCCTTCCCAAGCGCCCTCCACCTCTCCCAGAAAACTTTCTTAAGCGCTTATAACTTCCCAGGCTAAGCGGTTGCCCTCCCCCTTGGTTCCCCAAACCTCTTGCTCCTCAACTTCCTCCCAGTCCGGGAGACCCCAGAGGGAGAAAGTGTGGGAAGAGAGAGGGAAGCAGTTCAAAGTAGGGGAATTGGAAAGCGGGGGAAAGCAGACCGATCCAGGGGCCCCCTCCACCCCCCTGGAGGCCCAAACACCCAGAGGAGCCTGTCCGGGCCCCCTCCCCCCACGGTGCCTCGTCCTGGGCCGGGAAGGACGCGGAGCCGCAGTGCCGCATTCGCGCCGGGGGAGGGAGAGAGGGGGTGGGGGCCCGGAGGCACCGCAGAAAGTTTGGTCCCCGGGAAGCGCTGAGTTGGCGAGATTTGGGGTTAAGTGGGGAGGAAGAGGTGCGGAAGGGACGCGGCCCTAGATGCCCCTGAGGCCTGCTAGCGGCACCTCCCCCACGGCCCGGGGCGCCCTTCCCTCCCGTGACCCCATTGAAGGGTGCTAAAGTGAGGGGGAGGGTGGAGGTGGAGTCCTTCGGTGATGGTCTGGCTAGGGGTCCGGGACAGCTACAGAGGTCATTCATTGACTGCACAGATGCTTTTCTAGTGTCTGTGGGGTGCCAAGCACTTTACAGACTCTAAGTAAGATTGCCTGAGAGTCGGGAGCTCTGGCCTGTGCCAAGTGTAGGGTCTGGCCCTACTTTCTCCCTTCCTTGTCATCTTCCCTCCTTACAGGGACTCCATGCCCACCCATCCCTTCTGCCTTTGAGCCTCCTTGGGGAAAGGAATTAAACCGGCCCACTCTGTCAAGCCCTGCAGCTATGCGCTGTGGCGGGTGCCCACCTCTTCCCTGTGCCTTGGGAGGGAAGGAGTTAACGTCGAACTGGTCCCGCGGCCTCTGTCGGGAAGCACAGCTCTGCGGCTGCGCGCTGCCTGCTGGGCTCCAGCCGCGAAAGGGTTAAGACGGTGCCGGGACGCTGCGGCTGCGCACTGCGGCGGGAGCTGTCCGCGGTGCTGTCCGCCGCGCCCCGCCCCCTCGGCCCGGCCGGCCCGCCCCCACTGCGGTGCCGCAGCCTGCCTTGCGCCGGGCCTGGAGGGGGGCGGGGAGCACCGGGCATGCGCTCTGCGTGGCCTCTTGCCTCTTAACCCACTGCAGAGAAACCAAGAGGGTGGCAGAAGGCCCTCGGTGATCACCCCGGTGCACCCCAAGATCCAGGGTTATCTCTGCCTCCAAACTTGACCCTCACTCTTGTCTGCACTTGAGATTAAAAGTTGAGCCCCTCCACTACCCCCGTGGCTCCACTACCCATCTGATTAGAGCCCCCTTCACCCCAGCATCAATTTCTTTCCCTTTCCGAGGAACCCCCCCCCCCATATCTGATAAAACCCATTGCCTCTCCAGGAGCTGACCCCTGGCCTTCCTCCTCCTCAGACTTTGACTTCGCCCCCTCTTCTCCAAGGCTTTGTCAAACCCCAATCCGCTGTGTCACAAGAGTCCTAGTCTTCCCCCACCTCGCAGTGGCCCAGGTTTCCCCAGCCCCTAATTCTCTGACCGTGTGCCTGCCTTCTCTGAGTGTCGGGACCCTTCCTGTCCCCTTTCTGCACCTTAACCCGTCCATTTCATCCCATTCTTCAGGACCTGGACCCCGGCTTCCCCTGCTTTGGCCCCGCCCCTGTCCTGTGTTCCCTGTGCAATCTTCATCCAGCCTCTTCCTTTTCTGGGGCCTGGACACGGGCATTGAGACCCTCAGTATCCCTGATCCCACTAAGTGATGTCCCGTACCCCAGTAACAGCTCAGACCTTCTCTTTTCTTTCTTTTTTTTTTTTATTTTTACTTATACATTTATTCATTCAACACATTTCATGACATCTCCAACACACCCTCATGATATAGGGTCAGACCTTCTTACCGTGTTCTGGGCACGGGGCCAGGCCCTTTGTACGTGCACTTCATTGCATTCTTACAATCCCATGGAAAAGCTTAAGATTCAGAAAGCCTAACCTTGCCCAAGTCTGGCATGTCAAAAGCTGGATTTAAACTCAGGCTTTCCTGCTCTTAACCACCTTGTGGTTCTCCCTCCCCACTGTTTCCCTCCCCTCAACTCCAAGCTGAGCCCCAAAGCTTCTGAGGCATAGGGTGGGTGTGACCATAGTTCCCCTTGGCCGGTTCCATAGCTCGACCCTCGAAGCTGGCCAGGGGGCCCAGGGGAGAGGAGGGTGGAGCAAGGCCTACAAGGCAGAACAGGGGATGAGACTGCGGGTTCCTCTGCCCCATCTGCAAGGGCCAGGTCTTGGCTTGTCTCTGTTGCTTTTGTTGAAGCCAGATGTGATGGAACCACAGGGTCGGGACACCCGGACTCCCCCAGGATTGGGCCCTGGAGGCTGGGAAGAGGGCAGTGGAAGGGTCCTGCCCTTCTGATGGGCAGGATTCGGATTCTGATGGACGCCACACCTCAGTCACCTTTCTCTCTCTCCCGTCCTGCCTGCAGTATGTGGCCTTCGCCTCGCTCTTCTTCATCCTCATTTCCATCACCACCTTCTGCCTGGAGACCCACGAGGGCTTCATCCACATCAGCAACAAGACGGTGACGCAGGCCTCCCCGATCCCTGGGGCCCCGCCGGAGAACATCACGAACGTGGAGGTGGAGACGGAGCCCTTCCTGACCTACGTGGAGGGCGTGTGTGTGGTCTGGTTCACCTTTGAGTTCCTCATGCGAATCACCTTCTGCCCCGACAAGGTGGAGTTTCTCAAGAGCAGCCTCAACATCATCGACTGTGTCGCCATCCTGCCCTTCTACCTGGAGGTGGGCCTCTCAGGCCTCAGCTCCAAGGCCGCCAAGGACGTGCTGGGCTTTTTGCGTGTCGTCCGCTTTGTCCGAATCCTGCGCATCTTCAAGCTGACCCGACACTTCGTGGGGCTGCGGGTGCTGGGCCACACGCTCCGTGCCAGCACCAACGAGTTCCTGCTGCTCATCATCTTCCTGGCCCTGGGGGTGCTCATCTTTGCCACCATGATTTACTATGCTGAGCGCATTGGCGCCGACCCCGATGACATCCTGGGCTCCAACCACACCTACTTCAAGAACATCCCCATTGGCTTCTGGTGGGCTGTTGTCACCATGACGACCCTGGGCTATGGAGACATGTACCCCAAGACCTGGTCTGGGATGCTGGTCGGGGCGCTGTGTGCCCTGGCGGGGGTGCTGACCATCGCCATGCCTGTTCCGGTCATTGTCAACAACTTTGGCATGTACTATTCGCTGGCCATGGCCAAACAGAAGCTGCCCAAGAAGAAGAACAAGCACATCCCCCGGCCCCCCCAGCCTGGCTCGCCCAATTACTGCAAGCCTGACCCACCCCCACCTCCCCCACCCCATCCTCACCACGGCAGCGGTGGCATCAGCCCCCCGCCACCCATCACCCCGCCCTCTGTGGGGGTGACTGTGGCTGGGGCCTACCCGCCGGGGCCCCACACGCACCCTGGGCTGCTCAGGGGGGGCGCGGGGGGACTGGGGATCATGGGGCTGCCTCCTCTGCCGGCCCCCGGCGAGCCCTGCCCGCTGGCTCAGGAGGAAGTGGTTGAAATCAACAGGGCAGGTGAGGCTGGGCATGGGTGTGGGGCAGATGGAGGCCATGGGGGGTTCAGAGACGGGCTGGCTGGCCTCGGCATGGAAGAGGGGGAAGATGACAGACAGGCCAGGGAGGAGGCCCTCACAGCCACAGGGGCGTGGATTTCTCGTCTCTGTGGGGAGCAACAGACCTGAAGCCAAGCCACTCCAGGCCCATTGAGGCAGAGCCACGGCCCGTGTGGTGAGAGGAGCTCAGGGTGAGACGCAGGGTCTCACAGGGACCCTGGTGGCCCACAGGGACACCGGCTCTGCCTGAGGAAGTGCAGAGGGACAAAGGGGAAGGACAGGGGCCAAAGGGCAGCCGGGGTCAGCAGGAGAAGCCAGGAAGTCCTCGCTGTGAGACCAGAGAGGAGAGAGGTGAGGCCGAGAGGCAGGAGATAGAAAGGTGGCTGGGGCAGCAGGGTGCCCAGCAACTCTGGGGAGAGCTTCAGACAGATGTCGCTGAGAGGACGTGAGGTGGGACAGGGGAGGTTGACTCTGTGTCCCGCGTCTGTCCCAGGAGTCTGTGCCTCAGAGGCAGTGGTGTGGGAGGAGGGACGGGTGGGTGGGCCCCACCCCCAGGCCTTAAGTAGGTCAAGGAAAGGAGCTGGGCCACCCGGCCCCCATCTTGTTCCCTCAGCCACTGGCCCAGTTTCACACCCATTAAAAATAGCTCTAGTCAGAGCCTAGGGGACCCCCACCTCCCCCCCTCACCTGTCACCTTCCAGCCCTGCCCAGAGTGCCCTCTCAGCGCCCTAAGCAGCCGCTTCCTCTGCCACGTCCTCCCCCAGCCCCCAGCATCCCGCCCTGGCCAGGCCTGCTCAGGTGGCTTCCCCACAACTCCAGCCCCCAGCTGCACCTTCCTGCATCCTGCCCCAGCCCCCAGCACCCTTCCACCCCACCCGCCTTTCCCCACCCCCCTGTGCCCAGCCCGGGCACCAGCTGCTCAGGACCCTCCCCTGCCCGCCCGACCCCCCAGGACCCTGCCCTGGAATCTTCTCTCCCAGCACCCAGCCTCCTTCAAAGCGCCTTACGCTCTTCTCTGTGTCTCTGTCTGAACCCCTGGGGACGCAGATCCCCGTCCCAATGGCGATCCTGCTGCAGCCGCGCTGGCCCACGAGGACTGCCCCGCCATTGACCAGCCCGCCATGTCCCCAGAGGACAAAAGTCCCATCACCCCTGGAAGCCGGGGCCGCTACAGCCGGGATCGCGCCTGCTTCCTCCTCACCGACTACGCCCCTTCCCCTGACGGCTCCATCCGAAAAGGTGAGGTGCCCTCCATGGGACTCTCTCTCTCTCCCCTGCCCAGGGGAGGGAGGAGAGGGTGGGGGTGGAGGCGCCCGGCTTCCCTTCCCCCTACCCAACCCCAAACTGCCTCCCTCCCAAATCTCCTACCCCAGGCTTCCTCCCCACTGACCCTTCACCTGTCTTTATTCCATGTCCATCCCCCGTCCCCCTTGGCCTCCTCCCCACCCCAGCCACTGGTGCTCCCCCACTGCTCCCCCAAGACTGGCGTAAGCCAGGCCCCCCAAGCTTCTTGCCCGACCTCAACGCCAACGCCGCAGCCTGGATATCCCCCTAGTGGACGAACCCCCTTCCCCCGGGGTAAGTAGCCCCCTCTGCTCCCTCCCGACTCCTCCTCCGTCTCGACTAACCCCTCCCACAACATGCAGCCCCCACTGACCGAGACTCCGCTCCCTCACCTCACCGTGAACAGCTGCACCCCTTCCTGACGCTGACCCCCAGTGCCCGCGGACTCACCCTGTCCTCACCAACCTCCCGAACTAACCCCGCCCTCCCTCCACACCCCGTCCTCACGACTGGTCCCCATCACCATCTGTCCCTGCTCCTCCCGAGTTTGCATTCAGTTAGTAAAGGGGGGTGTGCACCGACGCTTCTGGGTGCAGGATGCGGTGAGGCAGGTGCTGCTGGGAGTTAGGAGCTGAGCATGGGGTTCCATCTGGGCACACCCCGTCCCCCAGGAGCTCCGGGGAGGCAGACAGGTCTAGAGTTACCGGTGAAGGTGACCTGTGCTTGGATGAAGGAAGAGGACTATGCAAGAAGCGGGGTGTCAGGGACAACTTCTGGCGTGCAGGATGGAGAAGCCACCTCCCCGTGATAAGAGGGACCTGTGCATGTGAAGTCTGACAGGCACTTGGCAGGGAGCGGGTCAGGGTGCGGTGAGGTGCCTGGGGAGACCAGCGGTATAAGCTGCAGCCAGGGCGTGGGGATGGGCAGGAGCGGGTGAGAAGTCAAGAGGGGAGGGGGTGGTGTGAAGAGGTCCTTAGCAATGCAAAACCCAGCACTTCTTAAGTACTAGGAAGTTAATGCTCCATGTGATCCTGGCCACACCCCATGGTGCTGGGGATTGAACCCAGGGCCTTGCACCTGTAAGTACTCTACCACTGAGCTACAACCCCACCCTGTACATTTTTTTTTTTTTTTTGAGAAAGTTTCTAGGTTCTCACTGTAGTTTAGGTTGGCCTCAAACTCATGGCAGTCTTCCTGTTTCAGCCTCCCAAATTTTATAATTATAGGCATGGGCCACCACATCCAGCTTTTAAAAATATTTTTTTGAAACAAGGTCTCACCAAGTTGCCCAGGCTGAGCTCAGACTCAATCCTCCTACTTCAGCCTCCTTTAGCTAGGATTACAGATGTGTGCCACCACGCCGCGTAGTAATGAGGCCACAGCTGCAGGCAGTAGGGATTTGACTGTAAGCAAAGGAAGAACCTTCAGCTTTACATCTAGAGCACAGACTGGTAGTAGGGCTCGGAGCTTCCAGCCGGCTGTTTTTATAAATAAAACTTTATTGGGACACAGTCACATTAAGCTACAACAAAGGAGTGGAGTAATTGTGACTGAGGCCATATGGCTCCTATAGCCCAAAGGATTTACTATTTCCCGCTGTACAAGAAAAGCCTGCCAAGCTCTAATTGGAGGAAGCAGCAAGAAAAGTCCTGAGGTGCTGGAGTAGTCTGTAAAAGAAGCAGTCAGGGAAGAGGGGTACAGAGAGAGAGGGGAATAAGATCGTGGGGGTGAGGGGGGATTGATCTTAAATGTAAGGGGAAGCTCTATCTAAGCAAATGTCCATGGGCTCTTTCTGAGGGTCAGACACACCCTAAAAAGACAGCATGGAAAGGTCTCCAGAGAGGCCTCCCTAAGCCCCCAGGTCCTACACAGGCCAGGGAGGGCTTGAGCGGCCTGAGGCCACCGATCAGACTTCTGCTCCTGTCCAGAGTCCGTGCCCCGCCCCCCTTTTCGCACCCCTCCTCCTCCATGGTCATCTCATCCTCCCTCCCTCCTTGGCCCTCCCCCTGCTCGGTCCCCTCCCTGTGGCCCTGGCTTCCCACCCCCGGTCTGAGGGGCCCTGGTGGAGTGGGGGTGGGTGGAACGGAGGTGGGAATGGGGATGAGAGCTGGGGGGTCTGGTGAGGGGTGGGGCGCGGTCCCTGCTTCTCGTGCCTACGATGCCAAAATCCATTCATTGAACTCAAATAATGGCCGGAGCTGATGGGGTGACTGAATTCTCTGCCTGTGTCCAGGACCCTGACCCGTCCCTGCCCTCCCCCCCTTCACCTCTCCTCTTTCCTCCCCAGAAACCCCACCCACACCCCTGCCCTCCCGTCCTGTCCCCATCCCCTCCTCCTGCCCTGTCCCCCTCCCCCAGCCACCCCGGAAGCTCCCTCCATATTTGATGTCTCTGGCCACCCCCATTTCACTGCTCCCCTCCCCCGGAAAACACCAGCGAGGAGGAAGAGATTCCGGCGTTCTCCGTCCCCCCAACAGTGAGGCTGTGTTGGGGGGTTCCCCCACCATCCTCCTCCCTGCCCTGACTCTCTTGTATTTCTGTCCCCAGCTCTTGTCACCGCCTGAGACCTCGCGAGACCCTCGGGTCCCCCCTGCCCCTTTCCCCCAGGTTAGCAATTGGGGATGGTGGGGAGGGGGCGTCCCCAAGAGAGCAGGCCTCAGCCCCCAGGCCCTCTGTCCTCCAGTAGGACCCCCACCTGCACACACGACACAAGGCTGCAGACCTCCAGCTGTACCCCTAGGGCCTTCCCGCCACCTCAGATGCCCATTTCAGCTCTGCCGCGCCACACCGCGTCCTGCCACCCGGACATTGCCCGGAAGCTCCCGGACCCCGGGCCTCGGCCTGGCCTCGCCCCTCCCTCTGCCCTTGGAGTCCGCCTCCGACTCCCCAAGGGCGTCCCCCCTGCTTTGGCTCCGTCCAGCCCTCCTCGCCTGTCCCCGCGACAGGTGGCCCCCAGCCGCCGCTGCCGCCGCCTCAGCTGGCCCCCCAGGCCTCTCCACCGGCTGCTCCCCCACTCGCATTCCACCCAGCCCCTCCCCACGCCCCTGCCGCCCACCATCCCGCCTTGCTGCCCCCCACCTTTGGCCTCAGACGAGGGGACCACGAGGGTGGGGAGGAGGGGTGGCGGTGGGGGAGGGGCGGGAGGCTCGGTGGGCGCCGCCCGCCTGCTAATCCGGAGTCTCTCCCCCTCCCCGTGTCTGCACCTTCCTCGTGGACGCTGACTGACTGTGCGATTTGTTCACTTCTCTCTCCATCTCCTCGGTCCGCTCCGCCCGTCTCTGCCCCTTGCCTGTCTTGTCTCCCTCCCTGTCCCCGTCCTCTGTCTGTCTAACTGTCCCTCACTGCCTTTGTTTCTGGGTGTCTCTCGCCCTCTCCCCCATCTCTCCTCCCTGTGTTGGGTCCCTCCGCGGGACCCTCCCCGCACCCCATCTCCGTGCTCCCTCCCCATGTTTCCGCCCCTCCCCAGGTTACGAGAAATCCCGCAGCCTGAGCAGCATCGCGGGCCTGAGCGGGGTGTCCCTGCGCCTCGCGCCCCTTGCCACCCCCCCTGGCTCTCCCCGGGCCACCCGCCGCGCCCCCCCAACCCTGCCCTCCATCCTCTAGCGCTCCCCTCCCCCCTGTGGGGGGACTCGGGGGTGACCCGGAAGAAGGTCAAAGGAGCTGGGGGTGGGGTGGAGGGGAGAAAGGTGTTTTTTTTTAAAAAAATCAAAAAGTCATTAATAATATGCAACCGAGATGATGACGCCAGCAGACACCCCCGGGCCCCTAGCCCCCCACCTGGGCCCCCAGGATGGAAGGGGAGGGGCCAGATCCCATCCCCCACCTCACTCCCCCACAAAAAGCCTTCTCAGGTCTCCATGAGCCATAGGACACCCTCTCCCATCAAGTCGTGTAAATAAGTCCAAACGACACCAGTTCCATCTTGGGGCACCTACCCTCCACACTCTGCATGCTCCCCAGCCAGACCCCCGCTCCCAAGCCACCTCAGCGGTAATCCGCCAGGGGCTGCATGCGCGAGCTGGAGGGGAGGGGGCCGGAAGCTGTAGGGGTCGGGCTGGTCTTCAAGCCACAGGGGGGGTCCCCGGGCTTCCCGTCCTTCCCCTCAGGGCAACCACCATCCCCCCCCCCGCACACTTCTGAAGAGGAAACCACCTAGGGACGGGGAAGGTGGGGTGTCTCCCAAGCCCAAGCTTTCGGCTGAGGCACAGGGCTGGGCTGCCCACCGCCACTCCCCAGCTTTCCGGAGGATCCGGCTGGTGAATCTCACCCCCAACCCCCCTCCCCCCGGGAGCTGCTTGCCTCTGTGCTCGCTGCATGGACTCAGACCTCCCAACCTAGAGTTCCTGGGAAGATCTGGCCCTGGCCCACAAAATCCCCGCCCCTCCCCTCCATTCCCAGGACATGAGACCTGCATCTGGAATTCCTGAGCTGGGCCCTGGCACCCTGCACCCCGAATCTCCACACACTTCGGGACTTAGCCTCTGCAAACAGATGCTTCCCTGTCCCTCCCACACCCTCCAAGCTCCTCCCCGATTGCCTGGACCGTGTCCCGACTTGCACCTCCAAGCGCTGACCCCTCTCTGCAGCTCAGTTCAGCCTTTGGGATGCTCCAGGTCCCTCCCACAACTCCGACATCTCCTGGACACCCCCAGATCCTCAGGCCTGCTTCCCAAGCCCCCCCCCCCCCAACACCAGACTCGTCCATCCCAGATCCCTTGACGCTAGAACTTCCAAGGCAGGCTCTGCCTGTCTGCAATTCCAGGGAGCCAGACCCCGGCACCCCTCCTTTTGCCCTAGCCCTGGCCACAAGGCCCCTTCCCTGAGACGGTGCCCAAAGGTACCCTCTTCGTGGCCACCAGCCTCCTGGAGTGTCGCACTGGTGCCCTTGCTGGCGGGACAAGATTGCAGGCGGTCCGAGGAGGAGCACCTGTTTCAAACGTTTCCTCTTGAACGCACACATTTTGCACATCGAGCTGGTGAACCGGGTAGCGCTCCTTGGTCGGGGCATCATCGTTAAGATTCCAAGTGTTTCCATTTGAGGCGGTCCCAGAATGGTCACAGAGGCTTCGGCCGGCTGGAGGGACACTGGAAAGTCTCGGCCCGGGAAACTGCGACGGGGGCTGGCGCCCCTCACCCGGCCGCCACGCTCGCGCTCGCCCGCGGGTGGAAAGCCGTCCCTCACACCCCATCCAGGCTCAAGGATGCGCTACCTCCCCGGCCCAGAGGCCACGCCGGTCCCAGAATCCTTAGCGGACCCCCCCTTTTGGAGCTGGGGGCCGTGGAATCAGCACCCTCCCTCCCTCCGCTCCCACGGCCTCAGGGACACCCTCGCGCCCACCCAAGGGTGGGTGGGGGGCGTCACTGAGCACAATTCTCGATGCAACGATTCCTATGCAAGGGGCATTTTGAGTCCCCCCAGCCTCCCCTCGGCCCCTAAGCCCTGGTGAATCGGGGTGAGGGGCGGGGAGGGTAATGGTGGGGCAGGGTAAAGGGCTAGGGGCTCCAGACACCAGGGTACGGGGTGGGGACTGATCATATTGCCAAAGGGTTCAACTTCTTTAAACAGCCCCCAGTTTCCCCTGACCCTCACACAAAGCAGAACAGGGCGGGGAAAGGGGTGAGTCTTTCCCCCAAGGGTACTGACCCCTTCCCAGCGGCTCCCCCTGCTCGCCAATCCGCCACACGTACCCAGCTTTTTAGTTCAGCTTTAAGAAAATAACCACCATCATAAACATCTACAAAACGTGACTTACTTCCTGTCCCTCCCCATCCCCCAGGTCAACAAACAGTGTGGGATCGGGGAGGGAGAGCGAGCTGAAGGGACTGCCTCCAAGTCCCGCTCCTTTTCTCCTCGGCCGCCAGGGTGCCTGCAACTACACGCATGCGCTGCATGACGCGCGCCCCCCACTCGCATGTCGCGCCCCTCCTGCGCTCCGGGAACGCACGGACACGGGGCATGGGGCGGGGCGATCGGGGAGGAAGGAATGGCGGGGGGTCGAGCTCAGCGGCTCCCCCTCCCCAACACACACACAGCAATAAGTTTCTCTCACTCGAAAGTGGGCGGGGTGGGCCTGGCCTGTGGGGGGGGACAAGGGGCGCTCTCAGGGATGGGGGCGGGGTCCGGAGGTGTGGGAGGGGAGGTCTACAAATCGTCCAACTCTGGTGCTAACGGCGGGTCTTCTCAGTCCACCCGCAGGGCCGGGAGGGAGGGGTCGGCAGGCCCCTCCCCCCAAGCCTCCCCCACGCCCACCCAGGGTGCATGAACCGCCCAATGCAGAAGCTGCCGCATGTCACCCGCCCTCCTCAAAGAAAAGTGTCAGGCCCCCTTTCCCACCCACCCTCTCACTCCCCATCAAAATAAAAGTTTCCTTTTCATTTAAAAGTTGCCTCCTGTCTGTGGGCTGAGAAGCGGGTAAGGGGCACACAGAGGGGCTGGGACATCAGGAGTAAGAGTGGTATGAAATGGTAAGGAGTCTGGCGCGAGGGCGCAAACCAGTAATCCCAGCACTCCCGGAGGCTGAGGCAGGACGATCGCACGTTCATACCTAGCCTGGGCAACTTAGTGACTTAGCAAGATCCTGGCTCAAAGTAGAAAAGCAGGGCTGGGGTTGTAGCTCAGTGCGAAGACCCTTGGTTCAATCCCCAGTACCAGTACTGCGCCTGGGGAGTGGCAAGGGGTAGATTTTGAGTCATTGACACCCCCGCTGGGGCGAGTCCCTCTCCCAGTTCCCTCCACGACAAACGCCAAACCCGTCAGCCCTGAGACGTGTGGGAGGGAAGGGTCCGGGGAATCTGGGCCTCTACAGACAGAGAGCCGGTCCTGCCCGAGGGGCGGGTAGTGGCCCTGAGTCCCTAGCGTGGGTTGGGGCGGGACACCCAACCCACTGTACCACTGACCCCGACCTCCCTCCCTGGGTTCGAATCCTGGTTCAACTTCTTGCCAGCCCTGTGTCTCGGACAAGTGGCTCGGCCTCTGCGATCCTGCTTCTGTTACCCCAAAAGGGCGGGGGAGGAGTATGATCACCCCTCCCTTTCACTGAACGCCCAGCGCCGGGCGCTGTTCCAGGTCCTGCGGAGCAGCGACATCCTGCCTCCAAGGTGCGGAGGGCAGGGACCAACGCCACCCCATTAGCAAAACCCCAGGCGCCGTCGTGTGTTTCCGGCAAAGCCTGGACGGTTGGCTTGAGTGCAGCCACCTCCCGGCGCTCGCTGTTTAGCTGAGGGCGAGGGGCGATGCCACAAGGCTCAGTTTCCCCATCTGTACAATGGAGGGAACGCCTCGCGGCCACAGGAGACCCGCACTAAGCTGCGATCAGAACCAGCAGCCCCCGCCCCTACCCCATCAGTGCCCGCACCCCTCAGGAACACACGCAGCCGCAGCCAGGTCCACTCGGGTTGGAGTTTATTTCGCCGGCGCCTGAAGGACGCGCGGGTGGGGAGCCGCCCCCACCACCCTCTGGGCCACCCCGGCTTCAAGTGACAGGGCCCCCATCTTCGCGTCCCGTGCTGGGGCCCGCAGCGGCCCGGAGGTCTCAGGGAGCTCGGGGTGGGGTCGCCGGTGGTCGAAAATGCCAGAGGGCAGCGTCGTCTCCAAAGTGCAAGAAGCC